AAATATATATTTTATCACATACTATGTGTGTTGATATTCGTTTTTCTGGTGGCAAAAGTAAAAGTCTTGGAATGTTTGTTTGTTTTGAATTTCGCGCAAAGCTACACGAGGGCTATCTTCGCTAGCCATCCCTTATTTTGCAGTGTAAATTTCATATAAACGTGTTTTTATTACTTCTTATAATAGGACGGTAAGAAAAATCGAAATAATTGAATCTCGTATTTAAATAATTTTCATAAATATAAATAAACGTAATTCCGTTTTAAATTTAAAACTGTTGGATTAGAATTTATAAACTGTTAACCTAAAAATTCGTTAAACGATTTGTTTGTTTCTTTGTTATGAATTTCGCGCAAAGCTACACCAGGGCTATCTGCATTAGCCGTCGCTAATGTAGCAGTGTAAGACAAGAGGGAAGGCAGCTAGTTATCACTACCCACCGCCAACGCTTGGGCTACTCTTTTTACCAACGAATAGTGGGATTGACCGTCACGTTATAATGCCCCCACGGCTGAAAGGGTGAGCATGTTTGATGAGACGGGGATTCTAACTCGCGACGCGCTGATTGCGAGTCGAACCACTTAACCACCTGGCCATGCTGGGTCGTCTTGGAATGTGTTCTGGTTTTGAACGAGTAAGACATCCCACATCATTGACATGAAATACTTTTTTATATATATATTTGTGTATCATATTCAGTTCGAAAAAAAGCTATTGATTTGTGTTCCATTGTGTGGTTATTAATGCGATTTCAAACTAGACAGTTTGAAACAGAAGAATCTGCCCAGCGAATACTCAAATAATATTTTTCTACATTATGATCAACAAAACGCGTCAAAATGTTGGTTATTTATTAAAAAATTTAAATCAACAAAACTTCAAAGGAGAATATTGCTCAAAAATATAAATAAAACTTTGGATACCAGTGACTTGATGACGCCCGAACTTTATATTGTTTTTTGAAATAAAAACGTGTATAATCATTTTTGTTCTTATGTTATGCATAACTTCATAGAATATGTTTATTTATGAAACATGTCTTTCTCTTTTCAAGGAGTCGGCATCGTTTTGATGACGTTCTTCGTCACCTGAAGACATAGTTTGTTTTTTTAAGTAGAGTTCCAGTTTTGAACGTATTAAGATTTCTGGTATGTTTACGACTTCAGTAGTATCTCTCTGTGATACTCTTATAAAACCTTTGATCAACAATTGAAAGTTTCATCAAGATATTTCGTACCCTTAACTTATTTATACATATACTGTTTTCTTGTGGTATCTTACAACTCATCAATAAAATGTTTCGTTTTAGTAAAAACCCAAACGTCTCATTTCTTGATTCACATTAACTATATAACGTTTGTTTGTTTGTTACGGATTTCGCG